CATGCAAGTAATCCATCCGATGTACCATAAGAACCAGACAACCAAGATCGTAATCTACGTCCGCGTAGGACTGAAGCAGAGTCACAATATGAACAACCTCCAGAAGATCCAATGCAAGAGGAACCACCACTTCCATCTCATGCTTCCTCGGTACTAAGCGGCCAAGAACCTCCTCTTCAGTCCCGTGCATCCACCGCCGAGACTGCCATGACCATTAAGTCACATGTTCCAGAGATCGATGAGGATGATGAACCATTTGAGATCGCAAAAATGACCTTCGAACCACACGATCCGAGATATGGCCAAAGCATTTCGTCCGCAAAACATGGCCCTTACTACATGCACATGGGCGATCGGGTCTGCAGTATCTGTATTCGAAACATTACGACCTTTATGCGCAAGCTCTGTGGCCGTTATCAGTGTATGCCATGTCAGGTGCCTAAGATCAATCAAAGATGCGACTGTAGTACTCGCTGTATGACCAGATTCGATGAATCGCAAAATAAAATCTAACTCATGAACACCAACTGGTGAGGATTGTTGACCCAAGCACAGGAAACAACGCATTCGAGGATCGAACAATGAAGGAAGTGACAAGACCTACTGATATGGGCAGTTTTCTTCATAGTGACCGTCATGTCCTTGCTGAATACACAAGCGCCGTTAAGTCCGCAGGTCCATTCTCCTTTGCATACATGAGCATTCACCTTAAGGACACTGAGGAGAAGTATGAGCCGCATTACTACGCCGTTGCAAGTGACTACTTTCCTCTCGCGCCAGAACTTATTCTCGATGACTCGATGACTATAAGAGCTATAATAGCGCCGTTGAATTTGGGTCGCCGTGGTATTTACCAGCAACCTTGGTCCACGCTCCTTTCCGAGAATCATTGCCAGCATTTGGGTTCGATCAATACTGCCACGAAAGTGGTGAACTTACAGCCGGTTGTGACTCCGATGCGATCATCACTTACCTACAAGAACTGGCAAGCAAGCTCCTGTTGATCACAGGGATTCCGAGACAGATTGTTAAGTCCTTGACCAGACAGAATCGTTGTCATGTCTCAGGAAATACGCTCTCCATTCTGACGTTGAACCTGGGTCACTGGGGCCGTCCACATAAGCTGCCTAAGAACCACATGAACCAGAAGTACAAGCCATTGAAGGGTCCTCCAAATGTCCTTTCGATTGACCTATATTATACCGATGCGCGAAAGATGAGTGACATGGAAACGTGGATTCCCACCGGATCAGTTTTCCGCATCAATTTCGGCAATAGGGCCGGTTCGATCAGATATCATTTTACGAACAGCCTAGACAAGCCGGAGTCCGTGAAATTTTCGATGTTTTACCACAAGAACAACAAGAACATTGATTCTGAGACGCGTCTATTCCGACCGTGGCTAAGCACAGGAAGACTCTTTACACAAGCTCGTACAAGTACCTAGACCAATGCACACGAGAGGGTTTGTTTCCGCAACATGAGGTTGAGTTTCTAGGAGAAATGAACGAGTTGGTTGACCTTACGATCCAACCAAACACCGGTGATGCAGTAAGGTGGGACTGACTCAGAAACCGATCTTCGAGATAAGACACCGATGGCCTATACGAACAATCCTACGACCCAAGTCCACCGTGCCGGTTTTCCAGAATTGATAGTCGGAATTCTCCACGCTAACGCGCAATTATGCCGTAGGAAAGGTATGCCCAAGATCGCCGTGTATTTGTCTCGATTGTCTCGCTACGCATATCGACTACCTGACCGGCGATGCCAACCTTGCCGTTAACCGATGCTTCGATGACCAAACAATCATGGGAGTGAGATGTGGTCCAGTTACCCATTATCTTCGAGAATATATGACCACGATCAATGAGCACTATACTTCCAAGGAACTGAAGCACCTCCGTGTCAATGCCTCGATCCATAGTTCCACACCGGCCGAGTTCGAAGCAAAACGGATGTATGAACACATGAAGCACAGAGAAAGATCAAACAGTGTCGAGACGGCCAAATTCTTTGAAGGCTTCCAGCCACCTCAGTACGATTCGATTTTTGGAGCTATGACCTCTTGGATCAAATGGAAAAGTCATCAACATATGGTCTGCCACAAATATGCCCAAACGGACCATACATCCTTCGATCCAAATGAGCAATACCAGAGTCTCGTCTTTGATCCTTTCCTCGATGACCGTCAGGATTTGAATGGCAGAGGAGGAGCGATCCGACCAGCTCCGAAGATCCCTTTTACCGTTGAGTCCTGTGAACGGTATAAGCATATACCTCATGAAGCACTAGTGATTGGTGGCAATGACCAAAGCTGGCACTATCCATTGCAACTGACCGTGAAACATGTCCATTCAGCCGCCGCAGGCAGTTCAGATGCCTAAGATCTTGATTCAAGCCTTTGATGCATTCGGTCTCACTTTCGTTAGGATGTTAGGAACTTCCTGTACATAGCAGATCAGAAATATGAACTTTGAAAAGGAGAATAAGTACAAAAAAAGACTCCTTGTGTCAATTATCGACCAAGGCAATTACATGCAAAGAGGTTAGGAAAATTGTGTCTGTTTTGTGCTTCGCTTTTACCGAACTAACCTCTGTACGGTCTCACACTTGATGTCTATACAATGACTGATACATTTGGCTCAAGACTGAGAAAAACCGCTTGCTTTCTCTGCGAGACTGCATTCGACTCGTGTCCGAGCATCGTCCGACTGGACCTCTCTCGAGACTGTGTTCTTTCCAAGGGATGTCACCTCCCCCCCTAGCAGAGCTATTTGCATAGGCGGCAGAGCTCAAGAGCCCCAATAGCACGCCCTGCACCGACAAGCGGTGTGGGCGGATTAATCTAATTTAATCCAGCTCTGACTGGTGCAACAAAGTCTCTCCATCAACGAGCCATCGTCAAGCTTCTTTGCCTAATGCGCATCCAAGAAAAGAAAAGGATCGGGAATGTAAGTTTGCAGGCGTGTTTGGCATCGCAACATACAAAAATGCTGCCAACACCACAGCAAAAGTGCATCACCTGTCCTCGTCTGTGGCCTTCTTCTTCAGTGCCATGTTGAACCTTACCAACGCCACACACCCATCATGCGACCAAACCTGGAATTGTACATTGTAGATCTTGCCTAGAAACATCTTCAGCACAGGTGGCCAAGTTCCAACAACAATGGTGGCACCAGCATTGGCTAGCTCCTTATCGGTACTTGCCATCAGCGAAGGAAGAAGAAAACAGAAACAAAAAGTGATCCTTGGAGAGATTGAAGCAAGGGCTTGAAGTGACCAAGACACACGTGCGATCGCCCAACCATATCCTGTGGTATCTGCAACCCCTGCCACACAGGCATATCAAATTCAGACTCAATCCAAGTGGAAATTCCACTGCTGCATGCTCAAATTCTGTGATTCCCAAGTGATGGTGTGATCCGACGCACAGGTCGTTTCACTTTTGAGTTTGCAGCAGGTCCAGATTATTTATTGCCTTCACAATTCTGTTCCTGTCACTGCCTCCACACAAATTTGGATACGACTTACAACGAAGCTGTCCACTATACGTTCACCGGCTCTTGAGTTAGCAGTCGTACATCCACACCAATGGTCTTGGAGATAGACCTTGTCTCCAGTCAGCCAGCAGCCTAGAAAAATCTCTGTTTGGGTATCTTCTACCATAGTCCTAGCCATAGCATCAAAAACCTGCGGCCAAAGGGCGCAAAAAGACTTTACGATGTCTATTTTTAAGGGCCGGCGGGTAGGCCGCGAGGGTGGGCTAAGTGGAGACTTTTCTGTCGGCTTCTTTGTGTTCCTCTGCTTGTCGCAGACGGAAATCATTTCGGCCAGGCTGCTAGATGATGCTACAAGCATAATATTTCACACCAACTCCTGAAGGGCTGGTTCGTTCTTACTACTGTACATCTTGGCCTCCTTGAACTGTGCGTGACACATGGTAGCCAACAATCAACACCCAAGTCATCCTGCTGATGTTTTGTGCAATCAGCTGATGTCCGCCTTCGACTGCTCCGACAATTGAGGTTGCACGACAGTGCAGTGCGGGTTCCAGTGTGAACCAAATGGCGCTGCTCTTGTTCATGAGTTGGTTCATGAGCTATCCTGACTGTATTCATTGCTTAGTAGCAATTAGTATATAGTTGTAACGATACGGAAACATGCATCAAGTGTGAAGCTGGCCGACTTCAGGTGTCTGACAGTCGCAGCTTCAGGGTGCCTCTTTACACAAAATCAATCTCTGGAAGAAGGTCCGAAAGCAACTTGCCTGCAATGAAAGCGACTTTGCCGGTGAGATCCACCGTGAGCGCCTGCTGCATGTGCTTCAGTTTTGCTTTCTTTACAAATGCTTCTTCTGCCTGGCGTGCAATGTGCTTGTTCCGCGCTTGGCGTTGTTGAACACCCCATGCGCCACTTGCAGCAGAAGCACCCTGCAGACGGAAAGTGTATCACAGTAGGCAAAAACTCCACATTTTTTGTCCCCGGCCTGTTGCAAGGTTGGCGCTGTGAAGGCAATGGCCTCAAAAGGGAAAGGAAGATCCTTCGATCACTTCCTGTCGCTATGATTGGTCAAGGCACAGTGGTCCAAAGTGCAAAGCAGCAGGACAATCCTGCACAGTGAATGCTGTGAAAACATGAAACCCGAAACCATTGAAATATCATTACAAGTTAGTAAGTCAATAGAAAAATTGTAGATCTGTAACTAAATAGTCCACATTAAAACAACTCCATCCTGCCACGTATAGCGGCAGGCCCTTGCGTTTCTGGTGCGGCATGGTGCCTGCAGGGCACAATTCAAGCAAACCTTCCATTTGAGGCAGTTGTCCTGCTTTCTTAAGTTTCTTCAGACTCAGTGGTTCCTTCAACCTCACCTCTTCCAGTCAAGCTCGTTGTCAGGGTCTAGAGTCTAGCTTGAGCCATGCTGCGAAATGCACTCAAACCTGCTGAAAGTTGCAAGCACAGAAGGCACTCAAAGTAATAATAGCTAGTGTTTCAGCCTCTCCATTTCGTAGGCGCACCAGCCAGCCTCAACGTCTGAAAAATGTGGGCGCTCCTTTTTTGCGGAGCGGTTAAAAATAAAATCAACAAACTCAAAGGTCGTGTCTCAAGCAGTGGTTTTAACAGTACCCCATTGTGCACGGGGGAAATATTGATCTACACAATGACGGCAGCGTGAGCAGGAGATACCATCACCATGCGTCCAACACGGCCGCAAACATGTCCTCACCACCATGTTGCACAGCAGTGTATGTATTGGTATTTCGGCCAGCAGAAGAGAAATGAAATGGACCCACTGACAGAACGGACACTAGATTTCAGTTTTCAGAACACTGTCAAGACACCATTACACATCAGATTGTACACTCAAAAGGCACAACTGAAGAGCAAACTGTACATACCGATCATCAACCATCAACTCTGAATACGTGAAGGACGTGGAGAAAGAAAACAAAACCCAACCACCAACAAAAACCACAAACACCACAATCTCGCAACCTGCTCACGCAGCTGGGAGAACATCATCAAAACAACCTTGATACGCAATCCAAAAGCACTGTTCGGACAATGCAAAAGCGGTTACAGGCACCATCAAAGTTGCAAGACCCCATACAGCAATGCCATGCAATACCTGTCCATTTGGGTGCTGATCTCGACTTGTCCAAACCATCAGGTACACTTCCAGGGTTTCTATACCTTCATCGGAAAAACATTGCACGTGAAGGTACGCTGCGCTGTGTGGTTTTACTACTATGTCGCTGTCGCTGCAACCGTTTCTGCTGTGATATACATTGTTTGTCCTTTTCATTTTTGTGTGTATATATATATAGACATATTTTAGATATATATATATATGCAACACGCCCTCCAACCTGAGGGCAATCCTAAAGGTGGAGGGAGGGAGCGTCAAACAGTGCAAGTCAGTGTGTGTGTGTGTGTGTCTTAGATTCTAAGGGTTTCCCCACCTTCACCACCTGTTCCACAGGCAGGGGGTGGCAGCAGGAACGAGAGTCTGCCACCAACGAAGACACTCTCGATTTCCTGGTGATACTGGGACTGATCATCCCAGCGTACCTGCCGTGATCGCAAGCTGTTCCAATCCACCTTTTTTGATTCATGGTAGTTGCATGTTTCCTCCCATAAACAGGTTTTCCCACCGCACCTTTCAGCAACTTGTGCACTGCATTTCAGGCGCGCGAGAGAAACACGTGTTAAACAATACAAGTCACCGGACCCTTTCGCCTTGCTGTTCCCTCACCTTCCTTCCCATCGTGGCAATTGAGTCTAACTGAAAACCCAAGTTCGAAGTGTGGACCGCTCAGTCTTCCCACGTGGGTACTGGGTGTGAACCTCCGAAACGAGGCGCCGACGCCATTCCGGATTTCATCGATCCTGCTTGTTTATAACTGACCTTTTGTTCCTTCAATTTATCTCTGAATTTCCTGATTTTCGAGCCGCCGGGCTGTAAACGAAGGACTCCATCGTGATTACCTGACTCATTTGGTCCTGCATTGTCATGACGTTGTTCACTGCATTTCCCAATTTTTTAACCCGCAGCCATTTGACCGACGATCAACGTACACATGCTCACATCCCAGAGATTCCACTGCATGCCGAGATTTCACCTTAATTAATTTTTCACAGCACACGTTTTCAGGTTCCAGAATTCACTGCCATTTTCAATTTTCTCACTGCCGCTGCTGCGCCGCGCCGGCGCCATTGTTCGCAGCCTTTCGGATTGACCTCTCCATCGCTCGTCCCATGCAGTTTCCCTGGCCATATCCACAATGGCCACCACCGTGTACCGCATCCACAATACCCACTGTCAGCACTCAACCACCACCATGGCACCATTCTCTACCACCGGCACCTGTCCCCACTGTTCTGTCTCATCCACCACAGCAGTCACTCGTCCCTCACTTTCAGACCGCTCCACCGCAACTGCCACCCCCTACGTGGCCACATCCCATGCCAACACATCCTCCAGGCACCAACTTTTGTACCTCACACACATGCATATCCAGCACCACCTCAGTTGCAGGCATTTGAAACCATGCCAGCACAACCTTTCCACCATTCACCCTCTTTGCAACAGGCATCACCAGCCCCATCGGCTCCACCAGCTCCGCAAGCACCACAACCACAACCACCAATCCAGCAAGCTCCTGTTCATGGAGACCACCCTCAAGGCGTTTGGCAGCCTTACTCCCTCTTTCCACCCGTTGCTCACCCTTCGCCACATCAAGCATCAGCCCCACCCACCGTTGTTCCTTCTGCTCCAACACCCCCCGCGGGGGCACCCACGCCGCCCGCCCCGGACGTTATGAACGTCCCCCCGCCAACCAATCCCACTCAGGCCACCACCACCACAACCGCTACGCCACCCTCCACGTCACCAGCCACTCACTTTGCTCCACCACCAGCCACCGTTCCACCACTACCGCCACCGCTGCCGTCCCCAACGCAAGCACCTTCAGTGCCCACTCCGGGGCCTCACAAGCAACCTCCCGCGGCTGCCCCCATCCGCTCAGGCACATCTCTCACAACACCGGCCTCTCACGCAACCACTGGCCGCACCCACCGCAGCAGAAGCCGCAGCCGACGTCGTCGCCGCCACCACAGTCGCCACACACGTGCTAAGCACGCCGGACGTCACTGCTCTCCTGCAGCCTCCACTGCCAAAGCGTCGTCGACACGCCGCCGGCGTCGCCGTTCCCCTTCAACCTCATTTACCACACTTCGGACAGCCGTTCCCGCAGCCGCTCCCATGCACCCATCACCCTTCGACCCAATCAGCAGTCTACACCCCAGCACCACATCACAAACATGTTCCAAGCAGACTTCCCCAACATTCCAGCAATACAGCGGCCCCATCCGCCTTAAGTGGAAGCCACCCCCACCACATTTCCACCGCCTTTCCCACCAAGAACAGATTGCATGGTGGCTTGACTTCCACGCTACACAATTGGCAGCAGAGAACAAACCACAACACGCATACGTAGCCAAAATGCTCGCTGACATCGGCTACACCATCGACGATTTGGCAGACTTCCGTCAACTCAACCATGTGAAGTGGAATGACACCACCAATACTTATGACACCTTCTCCTACCGCTGTATCAACATCCCCAGTCTGGTCGACAAGGCCAATCGCCCAATACCACCGCCCGCCACTCGTGCCACCTCCACTACCCCAGAGACAGTGCGCATCAACGCCGGCCACACAGGCCCCCACGGCAACATCACCGCCATTCTACAACAGGGCCGTCTCTTGCCCAGCACCCTTCACTTTGACACCAACCCGGGTTTCTTCGCCCAAGCCACACGCATTACTCACCAGCCAATCCACGACAACTACGAACAGGCCCGCGTACTACATAACACGTGGAAGTTGGCAAAAAGCATCCATTCTATCATGATCCATCTCCTCGCCTGGGGTCGAGGGACCAAATTTACCAGCGGCGGCGAAGCCCAAGCCATGCACCTCTTGCAACAAGACCATGGCGCTGTTTGCCACTCAAAAGCCCGATGCTGGGTGATTCACCCCCATAACGCCATAGTCAAAGGACTGGCGTGGTCTATCAACGCAACACCTCCGGACCTTTGAGGTTCCGCCACCTACCACAGACCTACACACCTTCTTCAACACCAATGCCAACTCCACACACTTGAGAGAGGCCCTTCCATGAGTTTCACATCCGCCACCAACTCCAGCTTTGCAAAATCCGAGCTCCAGTCTTTCTACCATTGCGTTATGATCACATGCATTGCATTTTACTCTCATTGTACATAGCTTGCACTTCCTCTAACCGACAGCCAGTTTTGGTGCTCATGTTGTCTTTTGATCGATTTTTCGTGCATGATTGCTCAGATTCTTTTTAGGTTTTGCGGATTGCGAATTTTGTTGACAATGTTCTTCTTTTCATGCAAGGACAAACTACAGATTGTGTCCTTTTCTTTTAGGCTGTATTGTTTCAGCCACCCACTATGTATCTCTATCTTTCCCGCAAACTTCGTGCTCAATAATTCATTTTCGTAATTCAATTGCATGCTCCGCATGTCTGCACCGGCCGCTCATGCAGTGCTGACACCTGCGCTGCGCCATCCGCTGCTCCAGCATACCACTTCAGCTGTCTGACCCCGACGCTGCTCCTCAAGATGCAGTCTCATGCCGACCAGGCTCGACTCATCCATCGAACTACGATTGCCCTCAATCAGCTTCATCATATACTCCAGCAAGCGACCGACATCCTGGCCAACTTACACAGCCTTTATCTTGTTCACACACAGCAGGTCGATCCCCATTTTCACCGACCTTTTCCGGCCCTCCCTCCGGCTCCCCTTACAGCAGTTCCTATCCCTTCTCCCACTTCCTCCTGTGATTCGGCTCCTGCGGCCCCCATCAAACATGCACCACCACAGCGTGCCCCTTCACAAGCATCCTCAACCTCTACCTCTCCACCAGCACTGCCACAACCCAAGAAGAAACGCGAACCTCCACCACCCCTCAAGGAAGATGCTGATTGGGACGCTTGGGATGGCGACGCTGAGGTTCGCCTTGTGGAACTCAAGACAGACACCCGCCTGCGACCGAATTGGAATTACGTTGCTCGTCGGGTGGGCTTCTCAATTGAACAGTGCAAAGCACGCTGGGAAGAACTTCAAGAAGCACAACGCCAACAACAAGCAGGCATCCCACCGCCCTCACCTACTTCACCCGCCCACACTCCACCACCTCTTTCCCCTGTCCCTTCACCTCCCTCCGCAGCAGCAATCCCACCACCGGCAACCCCTTCAGCTCCGGATTTCTCGTACACTCCTACAACACCTCCATCACCTGCACCGGCTGCCGCCGCCATGGCCGAAGCTACGCCAGCCACCATCAGTGAGGACAGTCATCCGGAACCAGCAGCAGCTGCTATTGGCAGCTATTTTGTATAGTCTCCGTTTCACCCAGCTCCCCTCGGCGCGCCTGTCGCAAACAACTTCCATGCACAACTGAACCATTGCGTGCAGGCCCTTGAGGTT